GAATGTATGCGGACAGAATATTGTTGGCCACGTGAGACGTTCGTTGTGAGTTATAGCGTTTGTTATAGAGCGACTGTTGAAATTAAGTGTATCGTAAAGTTGTACTCGGAAAGAATAAACCAGTTTTATTTAAGAAAGGACTTGTGTCGCTAAAGTTTCGTCAGAACGAATTTAACGGAAAATTAACTAACGAAAGGAGACGTAACAATATCATAATAACAGCTTGGGTTATGTTTGAGCAGGGATAACACCTTTAGTGAACATATTCTCAAGAATAAATAAGAATTATAAGAAAACATTAACAAATTCTAAGAGGAAATCTAAAAATAACGAGACATTCTTCTTAAAGAGTTTTGAAAATTTAAAAGTAGAACAAACTAATTTCTTTTATATATCATTTTTATTCAGATTTGAACAGATTCAGAAGAGTAATAATTTCTATTCTAATGAAGTTCACAGTGTATAAAAACACGTTATTTCATAAATCGTACAATCTAATAAAATATTTCAAATATAATTTTGGTCCCTTTTTGTAACGAATACTCGAATATAAAACACCTATGGTAATTTTCAATAAATCAATATATAAAGCAAAGTGAGTTTTCTTTCCAAACTTCTATAAACTGTACTTCATGCGATGGATGAAACACTCATTACTTAATTGTCACAATGCACTGTAACTTACAATATTTTCATTCAAATGCTTTAATATCACCGTCAGTTGCCACACGTACCTGCTCAATTATTTACCTCATAGATTTTAATGCTTGTGAAAATATAAAAACATTTCAGTTACAGAAGCTCAACATAAAAATATTTTACAATGCACTAATTGTTTAAGTTATCATTATCTTGTATATTCTAAAGAAGAGTGAATAACATTATGTCAACCATACTATATCTTCCATACCCAGTGCCGACAAGGCCTTTCGTCCTACACCAAGGCTCATCAGTTAGGTTGAGGTAAGATAGGCACAGTAGTGGTTGAGACAATATATATATACAATCAAATTGTACGTACAACTCATACAGCATAACTTTTATATCAGTCTTATACCTAATAAACAAATACTGACTTCCCCTGAATATAATTAAATGTCAGCAAGTGGTCTTTTTAAGCTTACTTTATTAGTATGAAACAAATAGTAATAATTAGAACAGGCGATAATTCACTATATTTCAGTTCAAATGAATAAATATCCTCCTCAGCTACCACAGATATCTACTTACAGTGTATTGAATTTTTCATAAATTAATCAGGTCTATTCCTAAAACATTATGTAACACCTTCAAAAATACATTCATATGTTACAATGCAGTAACCCTTTCTCTCTTTCTGAAAAATGTCACTATTACACAAAAGATGATGCACGTATATAAGTGGAGTGTGTTGTCATAGGTAGCAAAAAAGCCTTTTTTTTAAGAGGGTGGGGTGGATCAATTAAGGCAACTGTATATACCACACATTTTATTGGTAATTACTTGCAATGATGTATCTGATCATGGAGGATAAAGACAGCAGCAGACCCATATGTTAAATTAAAAGCTACCAGCTACAATTTACAGCACATTTTGTACAACATATAATGTAATACTGTATCTCACACACACATTTTATAATTAATATATGTATAGCATTTGAATGCATATGGAGTCCAATGTTGCAGAACCATTACAAACATCTTTACATGACAAACTGATCCCAGGAACATATTAAACACAGCATTCAGCTAGTAGGGTGACTACACATTCTAGTTTTGGGAATGTTTCCCCAGTGTCTCTAGAGATCATTTTGGAACACCTAAGTGTCCCAGATTTTTTAGTAATCTGTAACTTTTTATACTTGTACTCAGTACTTGAAGCCTCCTGATAGGAGTTTTTCCCAGTTTTATGTATTGAGAATCTGGTCACCCCATCATTCGGCCCCTAGAAACATGTTCTTCTTCATCAAATCATGAAATATATGTTCTTCATAATTTCCACATAAAACTTTCATATCATTATTTTCTTGCAATAAATAAAAATAAAAACTAATAAAATTAACAATAAGTTTGAATGAACTGTTAATTATGATAATAATGCTTAGCTGTTCTCTCTGTTATTCTTATGTTGTTTGATCATTTAAATGTCCAGTTTAAGAACATAACTTGCATTTTATTATAGCTCAAACAAAGATACAGTATGTATCATAGTAAAAAAACATTCATAGCTGGCTATCTTAAAATAATGAGCTTTAAACATGAGTAACTTTACCAATTTCCTTGAAATAGCAATAGCAGGTTCCTTACTAACAAGTAATTATTCCAAGCTGTATTATTATAACTTAAAGTTATTTTGTCACTAAACACTCATTCTCGTGGCTAGCACAAGCTGAATTAATAATATCATTTGTAATTTTTTATTGATTTAAGCATTAAATGCGAAAATTTCAGTATCCAAAAACTGACTAAAATACAGCAAGAAACAAACACAAAAAGGCACTATCTTGTACTTTACAAGTTAGCTGATAATTTAACAAGATGTATAACTAGATTTATCTTTGCCATTCAACATTGTTAAAATAGATATTTCTGTTGATTTAGACTCCAACAGTTACCCAAGCTTGTCTTATATAGTAGTTCTCCTACAGACAACAAAATATAGGGGTTATAATTTGGGTTTCTCAAAAACTCATGAAAATGTAATTTACACTACTTGTCTAGTGTAATTTCAAGACATGTTATTTAACACAATATATTCAGTAAAGTTGCCCAACTTTCATACAATTTATAATGTGGGTTTTTCCAACTCTTAAAAACATATTTTACACTAGTTGTCTAGTGGAATTTCAAGACACGTATTTAACACAACACATTTAGTAAAGTTGCCCAGCTTTCATAGAGTAATACATACCAGTGATTTTTTTCATCTCCTATACATTGTTTAAGTATCTCAAAGTGTTTTACAAATATATTATTTATTAGTATCATGGTTTTACCTATAAAGATATCATCAAACACTCTTATGGGTGGAACCAATGGGAGTAATAAATGAAATATTTATGAAACATATGATTTGTTTTTGTTTTCATCGATTCTTTAATTATTGAGTTTCACCAAGTATTGATGAGTTCAAGCATTAATTATATCTTACAATGTCCTGCTTGAAGAAAAGTCAGAAGCAGGAAGTAATTAAAACAGAATCTTTATGTATGATATTTCCTCCATAACTTGTTTTAACAAATACTTACAATATCCACAAATATTAATGTAATCAAGTTCACCTTAGTCTATTAGGAGTAAATATTGGTTACATTTTCTCATATGAAACAACTAAGAAAGAACCCTAGCTTGAAACAAGGAAGTTTTATTAAACAGAATTTGTAAAGTAAAAGCTACCTTTCCATTTTAACACCAACTATTTTTTAAAGTTTTTCTGCTTATATAATAATTACAGATCTACAGTAGGTATAGTCACCCTTTTTTAATAACCAGTTATTTGGATTGCACATGCACAAGACAAAAACTGTCTGAGATGTTATATTTTCTAAGTGGTCAACTCCAGAGTTTAAAAATCTTCCCTTTGTTATTCCTTGCTGGATGGTAGGACTGGGACTGCTTGAAGTTTTTCTTCTTATCTTCTTGTTCTTGGTTTTTAAGCTTAGTTTTCAACTGCTCATCAAGAAGGACCTGCATATCAACCTGACAACAAGGACA